AGAATTACTGGATTTGAAGATTACAATGCCAGTATTTCCAATTAATTGCCAATAGCACATGACCTCTGCCTTGTACATGAAAAATGTGGTTTTTGTTGTTTGGTTTTTTCTTTTCATAAAGGCTGACCAAAGCAGACAAATTCCCAGAAGTGGCAACGGTTGCAAAAGGTAACTGCCATTGGTTTCACAGACTAGGTTGTTCAATTATATTTACAAATCATATGAAAGCCTTGCTATGGTGCAAACCATCCCACATCTTACTACTATTTGCACTTGCACTTTCCTTTCAAGCATCTGGACTGACTACTGCTGGATACAAAATTCTGGTGTAAATGGATCATGATTTTGATACACCATCATAATTCCTACACTCAGCCCTGCGGGGAACAGTGCATAGAGAGAAAAGACAAGCTTTGAAACATTCCTGTATTACTGCAAGCATAAGGTACTTCATGGTAATTAATAAAAATATCTGCTCAGTGTTTAAGGGTTCAGTGTTTGCAAACTGTATTTTCATGGGCTTCTGCTATTAGCCTGGTTGAGATACAGCACAAATTAATCACAGTGAGTGGGCACCAAGTTATACCATCAACCAAATAATTATACTTTCTGCATTTACTCTGTGACTGCTGGCATTTTGAATGATTAACTAGGACTGGGAGGGCTGGGACAAGGACGTCGCATGTGGAGCCTTTGCAGAAAGTCTGGCTGACACAGCTGTCAGAGAACATGTCTGAATCAGCAAGAAAACTTCACTGTTCTTCCAAAAGCGAGAAATATGGTATCACTAAATGCCAGCTAATCATCAGACTGTTGTGTACATCTTTACTTCTTCTGGGCAGGGCAGTTCCCAACAACATTGAAACTTTACGGCCAGCACTGTCCATCGTAACTCTGTAGCTGATTATTTCAGTGGAGCACAAGAAAGCAGACAAGGGTCTCTGTGTTCATACAGGACCAGCTTGAATATTCTAGCTGTGTTGCTACATACTTTATTTGATTAGCACTGACCAAAGACACCTACTGTAGTAATTCCCAAAGAGCAGCTCACTGTTTTTTGTAAATATTTACTACAGTGCAGTGAAATATAATCATTTGCAAAAAAGGATGACTGCTGCCAATTTGAATTAATTACTTACCGGTGGGAAATCAAAGTCTATCTGGTTGGCTAAATTTAAGATGTAGTCGATTCGAAACTGGTTCTCTGGATTGGCTAGTTCAACTGGAGGTGCCAAATTGCCCATTGCTGTTACTATTGTCTGGAAAGAAAAAAAAAAATATTGCAGAGAGTGTCTAAATAGCTAGCTTTGAAGAGTTAAGAACAATAGTTTGTAAATTTACCTCTATAGCTTCTTTAATATTGTTTTTAATATCCTGAATTTTCATTTTCTTCTCCCTGTAATTAAAAAATACATTATTACATTTATAAGCCATAAAATCAGAATATGTTTTTGAAAGCAAACATGTACTTGAAAAGTATTCTATCAAAACTGTATTGTCACTATGGACTAAAGAGCTCTCAGTCATTGAACGGTTTTGTAGGTAGACTTGATTCACCATCTCGTAAGTTTTTTACTTGAAACAGTAAACACATTTTTGTATCCATATGTCAGTATCTAATCATGCTTAAATAAAAACTTACTACAGTCTTAGACTGGGACTAAAACATTCTGCAAAAATCAAACACATCTGAATGCAAAATACTAGGCATACATGGAAGTTATTTAGAAAAGCATAAACTGGAAACAGAGGAAGAAAAAAAAACTTGGGTAAGGTATCAAAAGTAGAAACAAATGAAAGGAGACCAAAGAACTTCACCTACAAAAAAAATTACATCATAAAAATTATGTCATAGCAGCAAAACTAGAGCAGAGAACTCGACATTCACCCTAGCAGTTCAGACACAAAATCTAAATTAAATCATTAAGAGCTAATGCAAATATGTAAAACCACCTTTTAACTACAAGCATAATAGTAGGCTAAAAAAACCACTGGGAATGCTTTATATGAGCACTATCATTTGGGATTACCTGCAGCCAAATCACAAAGCACTAGGCCAAAGCAAGCTGGAGTGTAAACCACTGCCTCTGCTACATTTGTATTGTATTTTATGTCGGATCCAACAACAGTTATTTTCAATGCTAAATAGTGCAATGAAATGAAATACATGATCAAACATTTGGTATAGACAGGAATTAGCAACCTAAAGGTATTACTAGTATTGAGTCTGCAAACTGTAACTTAATTGTAATGCACTATGACCAATTTTTTACATTAATTTCTTGCTGTACATAGCATAAAATTATACTACTTTGAGGTAAACCAAGTTAACCATATAACTACTAAAAAAATCCATCTACATTGTGTGACCTTTTAATTTTCATTAAACTTTTTACAGAACACTTTCATTATCTGAATATTTCTGTCAACTATTTTTAATTGTTTTTCATTTTGAAAACTAACATTTTCCAGCACAATATCCTAGAGCCTTGAAACTACCGACAGTATGTTTTCTCTTTTTTACCCCTTAAAAGGTAGTGCTCATACTTTCAGCTGACCACAGCTTGAAAACCTAACTTTACTGAGTTAATTAAGTACCCATATTGCAAATTTTTTTTATAATTTTTTCCTTTCTATAATCATTCACAACCAACAACCAAAATGAAACTGAAAGCATATTCACCAAACCAGAATGCAGAAGCACGGCAGGAAAAAAAAAAAAAAAAAAGTACTGCTTGAATAACAAGGCAGATGCAGACATCCAAGAGTGGTGAGAATTTTGGTTATCGAATGAGAGATTAATGCAACTTTTGTAAAAGACAGGGTCAAGGGAAACACCCCTGCGCCAGCTGCATGTTACACTGTCTTTCGATAGACGTGGAGGATCCTACTACACGTTCTACAGCAGCGAAAGCATGACTGCAATGCAAGTGCTGCTCTTACAGAGGGAAAGCAAACGGCAGCATCAAATCATCTCGTCAAAGATGACTTAGCTGTGTAGAGAACATGTCTGAATCAGCAGCAGAACTCTGCCAAACAGAATCACGATTATCGCCAAACATCAGCTCCTTCCCCATCACTGACCACTGCACATGTTCTCCAAACTGGGGCAGTGAAGCTTGATGCAGAAAGAAAATTAAATGATCAATAATCAGATGTAAATTATTGGTTTTCCTAGACTTCTTTTCTGTAGGATCTACCTACAGACCACCTTACTCCCGAAGACCACCAGCTTTTTGCTTTAGGGATTTGGCACTGCTGATGGGAACAAGGCACTGAGCCAGGAAAGGCTAAAAGCACTGAACCAAGGAAAATAAATAAGACAGGAAAAGAGAGGAAAAACTGAGGCCTTTTCACCTTCTTCCTTCCCATCTTCAATGCTTTCTGTTGCCCCAGATCTTAAGAAACCCTCTACTCCACAAATCAAGACTTACAAATAGGTTTACAAATAATGTATTTTTCAGTTAGTGCACGTATGGTTGCAAAAACATCAGCCACTCTGTTTCTTGAAAGTGATGTTCCTTTATTAAAAAAAACAGAAATAATGGTAGGAAAGCAGGAAATGTTTATCAATGACAGTGTAAGCAGTCTGGCTTGATTTTGCCTCCAATTTTCAGCTGGGTCTTGAACTTAATGAACACGTATCTAGATTCCACCCTGTTGAGACCAAAAGGGCAACTGGTACACTGAAAGGGAAGCAAGACACCAGCATTTTTAAAGGATTGAGTAGAGAAATAATATTCAGTTATTTTGCTTTATTTTGGAATATCATTAGAAAGACAGAACTTTAAAAAAAAATCAGAATACTTTCTAAGCAAACTGTAGTTATATTCTCTCCCTGGAACTCTTGCAGATATCTGTCTCAAAGCATCAGCTAAGAGCACATTTTCCTGACTTTTCCATACCATATGATAAACCACTTCATTTTTATTATAGGTTTCAGTCAATCTTTTATATTTACACTTCTTCACTGATCCTCATGGTGCTAGCAGCAGTGCAAAGTGACAATGAATATGGAGCGATGTAAAACTCCAGCAACTAACGAACTGCTTGATAACCATCACTATCTTTATAACAAGAATACTGATAGTTCCTATTTCTGGTTTTGTTGCCATGGCCCTATAGCGTGCCCGGTAAACAAGGAATCTTATTACACAGCAATGAATGTATCACGCCGTTTTGTGTTTTGTAATGTTTACTAAGCATAAATTTTCCCTGACAATGAGACACTTTATTCTTCTGGAACTCAACATGTTCCTCAATCACCCATCCAACAGCTTACACACAACTGTAACTTCTCTTCAAAAAAAGAAAGGTGGAACACATTTTATGCAGGGGCTACTGAAGTGTGGTAAGCTAAACCCCACCTCTGCTGTCCCTTCGCTCTGCCAGAATTATTTTCCACAAATCCCAGACAGGTTGCACCTCAAATTTCCAAAAGCAACTGAACTTTATTTTCCCCAACTGCAAAGACTGAATATTCAAACTTGGAAACAGATGACTCCTTTTTTTCTTTCTTATTCCTGGGTGCTGGCACAATGTCCAAAACTACAAAAGAAAAAAGCTGGGCTCCCAAAATGTTTGGAACAGGTGGAGTAGATGGGGAATGGCACCGCGCTATCCTGGCCAACGACGGATGTCTCCGCAGGCCTGTTCTGTATCTTTAGATGCCATGGGTTAATAAGGTCACATTTTTAATCTTGTTTAAAACTTTTGCTTAGGCTGTGTAGGGTAGGCCAAACAAAGCATTAAACTCTATTAGTTGAGGATTATAAGAAAATCTCAAATCCTGCTGTTTTCAATATTCAAATGGGCCAAAGCAAAGCTGCACATAGCTTTCAGGAAAACTAATAAAGTCTATTTTAGGTACTATAAAAAAAGATGACATTTTAATTCAAATAACATGAAATTAGAATGACATAAAAGGTCAGGAAAATCAAATATTCCTTGAAAACAAACCTAATCAGTATGTAGTAAAGACCTTCCCTACCAGTGGCTGAGCTTTACAACTAAAATGGCAACATTTCTACTCTGACTTCATCAAATCTTATGCAATGAACACATTACCAAACAGACTATCAGAAAGCAAACTAATTTTAATGTTCATTTCTGGTTTACCTTCCAGATAATATGAATAACCACTACTTGGAACTTGGAAATAAATATTTCAAGTTTAAAAAAAAACATTCCAGAGGACTAAGGATTCAGGAAACCCAGTATATATATCTCACAAGGAGAAAACGTAAAAAAATATGATGCTGAAATGAATGGTAAACACAAAACATGTCAAAAAAGTAATAAATCCTGTGACCCCTTTATGCCTCTAATCTAAATTACTGAAAGCAAAGTAGTTCTCATTTCTTGGTCACCATTGACAGGTTAAGAAGCCATATGCCTCGTTGCAAAGTTCTGTTCAACAGGCACAGTTTGGACAAGATTGAAGAGAAAAATACAAAGAATTACCTAGTTTTAAATCAAAATGTAGTATATTACTTTTTTCCCAGAAAAAAAAGATAGATTTTATGAGCAGAAATTAAATGATACAGTTCTTCAAACTCTACAAACCCACAATAAGATAGCTAGGAAAAAATCCAAAACATGCAGAGTGTAAAGCAACAACTAAAATTTTTTCTTTCCTTTAGAAAGGAAGATAGCCATGATAATACAGTACTTAACATATATCAATTATCTAAGTCAGCGGGGAAACCCTACCCACACCTCCCCCAAATCTCCTGATTACACAGGAAACCCCACACTTCAGATGTAAGGAACCACACGTTAGACATGTCATGAAGAACACTGTGAAGAGGTGAATTTAATGCTGTGCAATGCATCATCTGAGTGAAAGTAAAAAGACTTTGAACAGGTAATATACAACAGGAAAAGGTTTTTAATGAGGGTAAATCATGGTTGTCAATTAATCCCACTATGAACATGGCCTAAGCCCTGAATCGTGAATATTTACAATGTCAATAGGAAATACTGAAACATTCTTTGCATATTGCTGATATAAATGCTAGCTTTCATTTTTAAATAAATGTAATTTTCTTTCTCAATTTGTCTTTTAACACATTATTTTATATGCACAGCCTTAGCATAATAAATAATGCCAAATAATGGTTTGCAACTTAATAGTATGTATAACTTAACAGTATGTACACAGGATTTCACCACAAGTGAGCCTGTCTAGAACCCCGACGGGTATGTAACAGCATGGACGCAGTACACCACGCGACACAGGGGCTTCTATTTAAAATGACTGGCTTTGTATCATATAATAATTCCCCTAAAACCATGTTCAAATGTTCTTTACTAATAGTGTTCCCAATTTTTTGTAGTTATGAGGATGATGTTGCAAATAATAAAGAAGCAGAAAG